CCAAAAGACACCTAAGGTCATGCTCAACCTCATTAGCAATCAGGGAAATGCAAATCAAAACAACTTTGAGATATCATCTCACACCTGTCAGAATGGCTAAAATCAAAAGCACCGATGATAGCCTTTGCTGGAGAGGCTGTGGAGGAAGGGGTACCCTCATCCATTGCTGGTGGGAATGCAATCTTGTGCAACCACTTTGGAAATCAGTGTTTCGGTTTCTCAGGAAATTCGGGATCAACCTACCCCTGGGCCCAGCAATACCACTCTTGGGAATATACCCAAGAGATGCCCTATCATATGACAAAAGCATTTGTTCAACTATGTTCATAGCAGTATTATTTGTAATAGCCAGAATATAGCATCTTAACCTTAACCATGGGGACCTTGTGTATATCTTCTTTATACATTTTACAGATATACTTATATTTTAAGGAATGAGAATTTATGTATATAAAATGTTCAGACTAGGCTAGCCTCAACCCCAGTATATAGCCGAGCATGACACCTTGATTTTCCTGACTTTCCTGACTCCAACTCTCAAATGTTGAAATGACAAGTCAGTTGTACCATGCCTGTCATTTGTCATGCTGGGGATAAACGCTAGGACTGAATTACCACCTGAGCTACATCACCAGGTATACACACATACATATATACATACACACATATCAATGTAATTCAAGACAAATAAAATAAGGTCTTGGAAAATTATCTCAGTGGGAATCTGAAAATATCAAAACAGACTCTCTTTCATTTAAATATTTAAGCTCCTCACAGTTTCAATAGAGGGATATTGGTTTGTTAGCTTGAACACAATTAAATTTTGTTATGAAAAAGTTGCTTGAATATTCGAGAAAGACAGCTACCTACCTTTTCTTGATACTGCCTCCTTGAAGAATCCAAAGACTGAATCAAAGCTGTGGCATGGCCAACAAACATAGCATAGCAGGTGGCCCCAACGATCATGCTGAGCATGGTAATCCAGAGGTCGGACATGCTGACTGGCGCTTGTGCGCCATAGCCGATACACAGCATGTGGCTCATGGCTTTGAAGAGCGCATAGGAATACTGCTTTCCCCAAGAATCATTCTGAAACATGAGAGAAAAGAAAATGGACTGAGCCAACAGGATAATAAAAGGAAAAATAAGTGCAACGTAGCCACAGAAGCATGAGAAAATAAACAAGTATACATAACTTCTTACTCGATGCTAAGCAAATGACTCAATGATATTCAAATCTGGTATATTAAGAGATAAAACAGAAATAACAATATTTTTAGTTCACAAACTCTCAGTTTTAAGTTGTTTTTAAGTAAAATTCCAGTTGTGAAAATTGTTCATGTGTCACAACAACTCTTAAGAATTAATGTTTCAAGGGAATCATAATTGTATATGCAAACTGAGAAATGTAGTTGGTGGGTCTAAGCATGCAAATCCCAATTAAAAAACATTTGTCAATGTTATACAGCTCAAGTTTCATGAATGCAATTTGGTATATAAATGCTTTTTAATATTTCTGTGATTTATAAATGAAAAATCAAACATGTTTTGGAATTACAGTCATAACTTGGTTGGTATTCTAAAATATTCCAAAACTGGCTTGTGTTAATTATGACTTGCAAATATCTGAAGTCATATCAAAATTTTATTTCAATCTCAATTTGAAAGAAAAGAGCTTGTTAATCATGCTTTCTTTTGCAAAAATTTTAAGCAACTTGTTTGTATGTTTTGTTGTTCTGACAGTGGGGTATTGTTATATGACATACTGCTTAGGTGTACAAGAGTGTGCCACCATGACCATCTCAAATTCAAATGCCTTTCAAAGTTTGCCTGCCTTCCTAGATCAGGACTTACATTATTTGTGAGGACAAACGTAAAATAAAAATGGTGGGGCATTAATTCAAACCCAAAAGAAAAATGCAAAATGTAATAAAATATGAAGACTTTTCCTTTACACAAATTTATTACTAGTAAAATGAGATAATAGTAACATGAATAACACAGAAATGTGTAAACTATAAAAATAATATTGGTGTTACAGTAATATAAAATACAATGAATAATTATTGTTATTCATTAAAATTGTTATTCATTAAAAAATGTTAATCTTTATTGACTTATATCAGTGCTCTTCTGAAAATTATTTCTTAGGCTAGTACAATTTATGCAATTTTTAGCTCTACTATCAAGGATAACATTTATAGCAACGCCAGTTGCTCTTGGCTAATGTGAGATCACAAATACATCTTGATTTTTTTTTAATTTTGAAAAGAAGATTTTTTTTGGTTGATACAACTGTTCCTAAAGCTATTAAAAATGTTTCCTAGGCTGTGAGAACATTAGGATGGATTTTTAATCCATCACTTTACAATGTAAATTTTGGTACATCTGTTGCTGATGATTCACACGGAATGATGTTTTTTATTAATATTTAAACCTCAGAAATCAGTCCCAAGCTTGTCTGAGATGGAATTTTTAATTGGACTTTTGAATTTTGTTATGGTTATAGTTTCACAGAGGTGCCAAGAAGCAGGGAGCCCAAGTGTTCTTCCTTCAGCTTCCTTAGTAAGGCTGTCTTCAAACCAAGTGTAACAAACATAAATACATTACCAGAAATGGACATAAATACAGGATACTGACCTCATTTGTGTACTTGCTCATTTATTTCCATAAAATTTTATTACATATGTATGCTCATGAATTTATCAGCGCCCTCAAGACATGGAACAAGTTGACCACAGGGATCAATTCTATTGCTTTTACATTGAATTTAATGCTAATCTATGCAATGGCATTTCAATGCTTCCTCTGGTATTTCCTGTAACTTATCAAGGTTATGAAAGAAGTCAGAGGTAGTTGCAGGAAATTTTGTGCAGTTCCAAATGTCTGTTTATGAATCCTATTATTTTCTATTTAGTCTCAGGAAAAGTATAACCAAAATTGCACTTCTTGTCAGTAATTGTTCATCTAAAGCTTTATATGAAAATTGAGCGCTATTTTCTATAAAGTGTGGTATTTTTAAAATTAACTTGTTTTTCTGAGTTTGTAAATATTTGTTTGGTGCTGTTACAGCAAATTTCAAAAGAGAAACACTGTTTCAAAAAACAAAAATAAACAAAATCAAAACTAGATATGAAAACTTCTAGATGTGATGGTTAAAAAACAATTACTTTTATAATGGTTACCTGAGTCCTGCCAGCACTGTCATCGAAGATAGATAAGGGATCTAATATTTGTGCAGACTCTGTAGGGATGGGATCCTGGGAATTATAGGTAAGTAGGCTTTTCACCATGAGGACTATGCAATAGGCACCTGCAGCTTTTCTTGTGGCTGCTATTGTTGCCTCTGTTTGTGCTGTTTTTGTTTCTACTAATAACTTAGACCTATTTGTAGCTCAGCCATGTTGGAAAAACCTAAGATGCCACATTGCTGATTCATGTGTCTATATGCATCTTCCTATCCCACCAATTGACAGTCATCTGTATAGCATCCCATACATGCTCTGTGTGTGTGTGTGTGTGTGTGTGTGTGTGTGTGTGTACTGCCGCTGCTCTATAGGCTCAATCCATAGCATATGATTCCAATAAATTTCACTAAAAATATAAATATTTCAACAAAATTATTGAGACTATTATGATGAGAGTGATATACATTAATGAAGTTCAAGTTCTTTTCAGAAAATTATTCTTGTAAATGTTAACCTTAAATATAAAGATTTGAAAAGGCTATTTAAAATTAAAATGAACAAATAAATAGTTGTGATTTTCATTGCTTTATTCAAATATATGTTTGTTTTAAAAAAATGAAATGATACAAGATGTAAAAGCCCACACAGAGAAGTGTTGAAGCACAACATTCTTGTTAAAAATAAATAAAACAAGCAGCTACACTTAGCAGAAAAAGTTAGGGTTCTTTTTTATTGTTTTCATTGAGCTATTTATTTTTCTCTACTACCTTCTCTTCCTCCCTTCTCCCCTTGTACACTCTCTCATGACCCCCACATTCCCAATTTACTCAGGAGATCTTGGCTTTTTCCCTTTCCTATGTAGATTCATGTATGTCTCTCTTTGGGTCCTCTTTGTTATTTAGGTTCTCTGAGGTTGTGGGCTGTAGGTTGGGTGTTCTTTGCTTTATGTCTGAAAGTCACTTATGAGTGAGTGCATATTATATTTGTTTTTCTGGATCTGAGTAACCTCACTGAATATTTTTATAGGTATATCCATTTTCCTACAAAGTTCAAGATTGCAATATTTATTTTACCACTGTGTAGTACTCCACTGTGTAAATGTAATACATTTTCTTTATCCCTTCTACAGCTGAGGGGCATCTAGGTTGTTTCCAGGTTCTGGCTATTACAAATAATGCTGCTATGAGCATAGTTGAGCATATACAAATAGATCCATAGTTATCAAGGACAAATGAATCAAAAACCTCAACATAAAACCAACCACTGAACCTCATAGAAGAGAAAGTGAAAAGTACACTTGAATGCATGGGCACTTCTTAAATATAACTCCAGTAGCATAGAAACTGAGGGCAATAATTAATAAATAATACCTCCTAAAACTGAACAGCTTCTGTAAAGCAAAGGACATGGTAAATAAAACAAAACAGCAGCCTATAGGATGGAAAAAGTTCTTCACCAACCCCACATAGAACAGAGGACTGATGTTAGAAATATACAAAGAGCTCAAGAAACTTGACATCAAAAAGACAGATAATCAAATAAAAAACGGTGTACAGACCCAAACAGAGAACTCTCAACAGATGAATTTCAAATGACTGAAAGTCGCTTCAGGAAATGCTCAACATTCTTAGCCATCAGAGAAATGCAAATCAAACAGCTCTGATATTGCATCTTACAATATTCAGAATGTCCAAGATCAAAAGCGCTGATGACAGATTATGCTAAAGAGGATAGGGTAAAGAGAATGCTACTCCATTGCTGGTGGGAGTGCAAACTTGTACAGCTGGCAAAATCAGTATGGCAATTTCTCAGAAAATAAGGAAACAATCTACCTCAAGACCTAGAAATAGCACTTTTGAGATTAACCCAGAAGATGGTCAATAATATTAAAAGGACATGTGAGTTAGGGTTCTTCGTGAGACTTGTTCTTGCTGATGAAGTAAAGTCAGAATGTGACATTACATTATCCCACTGAGAGGTTACATACAAAGAAGTTTACACATGCATGGGTTTAAAAAAAAGCTTATTTAAGACAAGACACCTATCTATATATTTTTTGGTTATCCTCTGCTGATAGTATATTGGACATGCATACATTTTTTTCTATGTAGAAATATTCTTTATATTTCTTCATACAGGAGAATTTGTACATTATGTCAAGAAGATGTTCTCAAACTGTACATATTTCACAAGCAAGAAAGAGATATTCTAAGAACAAGAAGCACATATTCAAAGAACAAAACAATATATTTTATGAAAGTCTTGAATATGCCCTTTCTTTTAAAATTAATTGTATTCATAAAATTCCAGTTATACCAATAAACCAAAAGTGAAATTATTATAGACCACACTACCAAAAAAGCAAAGGGTTTTATGTAGGTGTTCTATTCAAATAGCAACTAAGACACATTCGTTTGTCTCACAAGGCTTAAACCTCTTTTATGTTCATACACAGCTTAAGTTATTAACCCGTAGCATTGCCCCTGGGTATTAACAATCACATGTACCTGTATGTGTCCACACCCCAGGGCAGGAGCCCTGTCTTGGTGCTCTTAGAACAGTGGATCTTTAAAAACCGTATGATTTAACATGGGCATTAAACAGCTTTCTTTCCAGTGAATATGATCGAGAATCACTAAATTTTGTAGATGAATATTGAATGTCATGCACAGTACTACTTCTGCCACACTTCATAAGGCACTGGGACATATATAGACAGACGGGGGAAATTAAAATGTCCAAGGAAGTTCCCAGCCAAAAGTCACTTCTGGTTTTGTTTTTGTTGTTTATTTTTATTTATTTGTTTGTGTTGTTTTTATTTTGTTTTGAGAAAGGCTTGTTTCTGTGTAACCCTGTATTTCTCGGCTTTCTTGGGAGGCAATGTAGAATGGTGGAAAGGAA